TAGTTACACAATCTTTAAATTCATAAAAGTCCAGGAGTACAACATTTAATTACATATGTTTGACACATATGGGTTTCATTTTTGATACCAATCTACTTAATTGCCAATAAGATGAGGTCACAAAAAAGAATTTAATTTAAAAAGTTTAATAGTTTGTTTTTCTGTAAGGATAGGCTCATAACAAAATGACACGATGATCTCAAGGCGAAACTATGTTGGCAGTTTTTATAATTCAAAATTACATATAATCAAATATGAAAGACTAATGTCTGACAATTATCTGAAGGATATTACTTGATAAATTTATAAAGCATTTTGACTTTCGAATTCAAGGGGCCAAAAGGTGTCCTTCTTCGCTTACCCTCAATTAAAGATTATCTGCATATTTCGTTCGCTTGTAAAATATCTTATTTATTGTTATCAAACCTTTAGCTCAAAGACGTCTCTCGGGGCAAAAACGAACTAATTATGTATCCACAACGTATGAAATGCCAAAAAAAGGCAATTATTTGAGTTTTACTTTTCAGTTATTTGTTCAATTTAAACACTGACATACCAATGAATTAATACCAAAAAAATCTCATTTAAATCTATTTAATTGTATTTCTTTTGTCTTTACCATTTTTATGCTAACATTTTTTTTAGTATTCTGATGAATTGGTAAAGGATAGACATTACCATAAAATAAAGCATTGAAATTCATCAATAATGTCATCATGTCCTCCTACCTGATAACCTTATTTCTTGTAATATGATTTATATTATAATCTGTAAAAAAAATTAAACACAAAAAAAAAGAAAAAAAAAAGGTTTATGCCTCAAGCGTCTGTGAAATAGACATAACTTATAAGAAGAACGAGAAGATAACCCCCCAAAAAAATAAAACGGTGAGGTAAACAGTAAAATTTCATATTAACCTTAAAACAAAGAGAAAGAATACCAGAGGATTTTATTTGTATACTACACAACTAAAGCAAAAATAATTAACTTGTATACCTGGTATTTAAAAAGATATTACTGATTGCAAGATAGAACATAGTCTTAGCTTTCTGAATCACATTATTTTGCTGTTTAGGTTAATTAAAATAAGTTTTATAGTTGTGTTTATTAATTCAAATCAAATAAGTGCTAGTTATATAAGATGTAACTAATGAACTATATATTATATTTTGTCAATATAACGGAACTAAAAAGCAACTGGAATACAAGTGGGAAGTGTAGCTAGCTATAAAACCAGGTTTAACCTACCATTTCTTCGGAAAATGCCTGTACCAAGTCAGGAATATGGCAGTTGTTTTACATTTGTTCCGTTGATTGATTTCCCTTTCTGAATTTGCCTTGGAGTTTGGTATTTTTTGTTTATACTTTTTTATAAGTATTTAAGTATGCACATTCATGTGTGCTAATAAAAGAAATGCACTATAAACAATAACTTTATTTTGCTTATGAATTACTCTGCATCATATATGTTCACGAGCTATTTCATTTTGGCTGAAAATTGAAAATATTGGCCAAGATTGTGATAGCATAAAAAAGCTATAACATAATAGTCCTGTACTAGAATTATTGACAAGCTTAATTCAATGCTAAATGTCTAGATAGAACGGATCAAATAATCTTTTTCTCTCTGGGCTTTTGCTTATTGACGGTAAAAATTCAAATCTAACGGACGTTTTTTCAAGTGTATCTTTATTTACATACGTTCCGACTAGCTCAGTTCCAGCAATTTTGAGTAATATCTGGCCATCAACTACTCGTGGCCACATTCCATTTGGCGGAGAGACGATTATAGATCCATGTTTCACGCAAGTTCCATCTGTAGTATAGAAGGGATCCTTTTTAGTACTTACCATAAATTGGAATGTCTTTGGATCATGTCTATACTTATCTGTATACCGTGTAAGGAATGTTTCACGGACATGAATAGTTCTTGTTTGTCCAATATGTACTTCTTCATCAATTTCGAAAAGAACATTAAAGAGATCAGAGCACCATTCTCTTCCGTCCCAGAAAAACTTCTTTGTCGGATCGTGTATCTTTGAGTCGAATTCTTCTGCAAGTCTAATACCATAGGTATAGTAACATACTCTTGATGATACTACATCGGGATTGTGACCATATACAACAGCTCCTTTCAACACCGAAAGAGACCCATCTGTTGGTATAAAAACCTCCAACGATTGAAATTGCTTTTTAATTGCATGTTGTAATGTGTCGGCCTCTGAAAAACCACCTGCCATCATTATTGCACTTACATCAGAGCATCTTTCATGTTTCAATATGGATAATACTTCATCAATGATCATTCGTATAGTCTCAGAAAAAAATGTTTGAACTAAAGATCCTGCAATAGATAGTTTGTCTCGTTTTAGTCGTACAGTTTCATTAAATCTTGAACTTGCAATTTTTGTTGCAACGTCTGATTCTTCAATATCAAGGAACAGTTCAATCAGACTTAAAGGCATGCGAATGGTTACTGACTCCTCGTCTTCTACTCTAAATATTTTTTTCTTCACTTCAAAATCTCTCAGTAATTGTAAGAAATCTTCTCCGTTGTTCTTTTTAAACTGTTTCATAACTTCCTTTCCGAAAAGTTCTTTAAGCATATTTACGAATTGTTTGTTAATGCATTCGCCGCCCCATGGACCACCGCATTCTCTGTGAATTATTTTAAGCTCGCCGTTTTCTAAAACTTGTTGGGCAGAAATGTCTACGGTACCACCTATAGTATCAAATAAAAATTTAGAAAAGAATTTACTTATAGAACTGAACAGATTATGGTAAAGAGTATGTGAATATGTGAATAGAAAAAAACAAAACACTATGGATTTGTAGCAGATTGTTGAGTCCGGAACAAAATTTTTTATGCCCTGAAGATAAAAAAGACTTTAACAATTATGGAAACAAAATATATCAGCAAATTACAGTCTATTAACTGCTTGTGTAATTTGACCTTGACCAAGTTACCTTGAAATGGTTAGAGGTCTTCTTCATCCCAAAAGGCATATTATTCACCAAAGATGTGACCTTTACCTTATACCTGACCAGTAAAATGGGGTCTCGTCCTTACCAAAGGTCTTATTCAAACTAAGATTGGTCAAGGTTTGATATCTAACTAAAAAACATTATCCCGGAAATCAAAGTTTAACCCAATTACCATTATATCAATAACTGCTGTGATCTTGACCCTTGTTCTATTGGATTCAAAATCAAAAAGTGTATTTTTCCATCCCATGTCAATTATCCAACAAGGATTGGTGAAGATCTGACCCAAAATACATTGTCTGGAATAAACTTTTCTCAAAATTGTAGTCTAACTCTAGGTATTGTGATATTTACCTACTGACCCAAGATTTTGATTTAAACCACAATTTGTCAATATCAATTTATAAATTGTTGTTTTTACCTTGCCCTTTGATAAAGCGACATCAAAATCAATATAGGTTTTATTCGTCCCTTGGGGGAAGGTCATACCGTGTTTGGTAAAAGTTAGACAAATGGTTTAAAAGATAACATTGGGAAACCAAAACTTTATCCAAATTATATTTGATCAACAGCTGTTGTGACCATTAACTTTGACATATTGACATCAAAATCATGAGAAATATTTCTCACCGCATAGTGCATTATCAAACACAAATGTTGCTATATCAATTTTGTCCTGAAACTGAAATGTTGGGGACCAGTGGAATATATTTGTATCTTTCAAAATTAGTTTATATGTGTTCTTTATTTTCTAAATATTATACTGTATCTACTATAACCTTTTATACTGTCTTTTACTGGTGAAAAACAGATGTTATACTCTTGACATTAACTTCAAGTCTCGAATAGTCTGACATTCTTTGAGAGACGATTTTTCTTTCTTTGTGGGTCCAAGTGTCAGATGAACATACAAACATTACAAAATTATATAACTAAGAATATTAACAAGATTGCTACGCCGTAGCGAAATATCCCCCACGCTGTATATATAATGGTCAAATTATGGTAAAAGTCCCACATCTCCCATTAAAGTGGTCTTAACAAAACGACCGTATAATATGGTCAACTACACACGATGGCAAACAATCCTACCAAGTATGAGAGCTTTCAGGAGAGTTGCTTTCATAAGTCTACACTTTTACAATACTCAAAAAAATGTCAAAGTCCAACAACTCTCGTAAAAATTGTCGAATTAAATTGACGGTATAATATGGCAATGTACACATGATGCTAACCAATCCTGTCTGAGAGGACTTGCGTTCACAAGGTGTTATTGTTACTTTACTCCACTTAATAGTCAAAGTCCAATAGCTCCCGTAAAAATTGTCAAATCAAATTGGCAGTATAATTGAGTCAACCAAATATATTGACAAACAATTGTCCCACGTATGAGAGCTTTCTTTCAAATAGCATCAGAAAAGTTGCGTTCACAAGGTGTTACTGTCCCAATACTAATAATAAAAATACTTAAAGTCCAATAACTCCTGTAAGAATGATCTAATCAAAATGATGGTATAATATGGTCAATTGCACATGGTTGCAAACAATCCTACAAAGTACGAGAGCTTTCTATAAACGGTCTCAAAAAGTTGCATTCACAAGGTGTTATTGTCACAATAATAAAAAACAAAAAGGGTCCCATAACTTCTGTAGAAACGGTCAAAACAAAATGGCGGTACAATATGGTCAACTACACATGATGCAAGAAATCCTACTAAGTATGAGAGCTTTCTGTACAACGGACTCTGAGGAATTGCGTTCACAAATTGTCATTGATACAATACTAAAAAAAATGGTCAAAGTCTTATAACTCCCATAAAAATAGTCAAATAAAACTGGCGATATAACAGTCAAGAAAATATGACAGCAAAAAATGCTACCAATCATGAAAGCTTTATGTCAAACGTTCTTAAAGTAATATTGTGTTTTGGACGGACGGACGGACGGACAGTAACCATGTCCTCCGCGGCGAAACGATGGGGTCTTAAAAAATAGTTTAACTTTTAAAACAGTACCTCCAGCATCAACAACAATAAACTTTCGACCCGGATCAAAAGCTTTCAGGATGACAGCGCCATTTTTTCCAACTAGCTTATCAACAGGAAGAAGGCTTGCGTAAATAGATGCAGCCTCAGGCTCATATACTATAATGAACTTTTCACCTTTTATACCAACCTATAATTAATCAATATGAGATTAAATTTAATATGGATTTTTGATAAATCCAATATGGGTTGTTAGTATGCTTACGGATAAGTTTAACTATACATGTGTAGTTGACACTAACAAATTCAGGTTTTGATATGAAATTATCTGAAAACTACTACTACAGTACTACTACTACTACCATGGGTGTGTTTAAGGACTTCGAACACCCATAATGCGTAAGTTTATTAATTAAATTGTACATTATCATCGTAATATTTGTATTGCTCACATATTTTTATGAATATTTAACGAAAAAGTAATTCATTTATATCTGGTCATTGATGTTGTGTTCTAATTTGCTTTGATCTGTGGCATCTACTTGCATCCAAATCTAAAACTAACATGACGTAAATAATATAAATTGAGGGCTCAAAGGTGTGTAAGTTGATATTTGTTTTATATCTATTAGAAAGTTCAATCGTCTAGAAAATGTAGAAACCTTATATATTGTATGATACAAAGGACCAATGCCTTACTGTGCATGCAAATTGGTTTCCAACTAGGGACTCACTTGCAAATTTTGAGCGAAGACTCAAAGGGGGGTTTTACCTTGTGTTTTATATTTAAAAACTATAAATGTATTAATATAGTCGGTAAGATAAATTCGTTACACAGTGTGCTAGTTACCTAATACGATATATACAGGGTCAGTAAATTCCATATGGGACGAGAGCTTCGCTAGATCACTAGCACACTGTGTAACTAATGATATCCTCTTTTATTCCAAATATTATCAATTCCATCCAAAGGTCCGCTTTTACAATTGTAGTTGTTTTAAAGGTGACTTTTTTTTAGTTTATATATCTGAAACACTTTCTTTTTTATTTCAAAAATATTCGTATCCAGAATAAATGAAATTACCAGGAAAATGTTGGTAACGTAAATGAAGTTTTTTACAAGCATGTTGCTAATTATTACCCTGTAGTACTGTATTAAACGCTATATTTCAAGTTAATCGAGACATAAAAACCAGAATCGATATTCCAACATGTTTTCATTTTAAAATATGCAATTTAGACTATCAGTTGACCAGAATTCAGAACTTTTTTTTTTCAGCTTGAGCCCTCGGCAATTAAAGTTGAGTTTTATCGTTTGTAGTGGCCTGTAAGGCCTCTGTTGGTTCTTAGCTACCAAACATTTCCTATTATCTGGTTTTACTTTGACGTTCATCATTAAGTCGTTTTTCGTCAAAAATATAATTTATATGTGAAGGTTTTGGTAATCATGACAACAGAGCCACCTGTACCGTTATATACGATTTCAGATCATGTGCAAATACAGTATACCTTTTCAGCTGATTCTCTCATAAACTGCTTTGCAGAATCATTCCAGATTGCTGGTACCGACACTACCCAAAATATGTCGTCTTCAACCGTGCCAAGCTTTCTCCAATGCATCTGCTGAATGAAATGGTCTTTCAAAAAGCCAATAGCAGCAGAAAAAACAGCTTTTGCAGATATACTTTTCCCCCCAACATCCAGCAATTCAAAATCTACTCTTATATCCTGTCAACAGATTTCAAACATTATACAATGCTGTTTGAGAAGTAATGTGGGGTTTCGGGCGTTAGGAAGTGCTCATGAAGTCATAAACTAAGGTTATAGCGCAAAAATATATGAATTTGGCACAGTCACTTTTCATTGTAAAGAATATAACTATATACCTTTATTAAGGTGTATAGGTATATATTTTGTACACATGCAAGTACCTTGATGCTTTAAGTGGGGCCAACAATCATAAGAAGAAGGTTCACTGAAAAAACAATGACTAAAAGAAGAAAAAACGAAAGGAAAAGCAACTGTTACGGTTCACGTAACTCTACACAATAAAGTTTAAAGATTGACAACAGAAATTCAACTAATATATTCAAATGCCCCAGAAAAGTAAGCAACCGATCTGACCATTTTTGTTTTTGTTTTAACAACACAAGTCATTGTATATGAGCATTGGACATTATTAGTGTTAAATGTTCCATGTTAAAACGATGCATGATCAATTTTCCCGGTAATTGTTTCCACTCACGGGATCAAATCCGAAAATGACGATACGTTGGGGGTTGTTAAAAAGACAAGGGATACACTAAACTTTTTTTTTACAATTTAACTTATATCTATTTAAAGGTTATGCTTTGTGTTGCTGATCAAGACCATGTTGATACGATATTGAAAATTGTACATGTTTTTGATAGCTTGCATCGAAAGACATCCTTTACCAAAATTTTTATTTAAAGGATGATTCACTCGAAAGCAGTTTAATGTGGATAATTAAATGCACATCTGAATAATGTATATACTGTAGTCTAGTACATTTAAAAAAAAGGTTTTTAAATCCACTTACCGTACGTTTAACGAATGCATAAATAGCATATAGCATTCGTAAATAGAAACTAAAATGTTAAATGTTTTTAAATTTTTATTTTTAAAAAGTAATTTGTATATCAAATATGTGGAAACAATGTTAATGCAGCATTTTATTCAAGCAACTCGAATCATTAAAGGTGGTTCCGCATAGTTCCGGTTGTGTCTTCGAAATCCTTGACTTTATAATTTACCATTAATACATAGATTGCGTTCATTGAAATCGAAAACGTCACTACAGACACTGGCATAGCGAACGAGTTGAAATATATATAACACTGTAAGATGGGACCAAAGGAACATTATCGTCAAAAAAAAGGAACGAAAAACCGTCCCTTTTGTCGTTAATTTTTTTGTAGCGTTCTTTTGTAAAACTCACTATCTAGATCTAGGAAAGGACCGTTATTTCCGTTTATATTTGATTTATTTAAAGTATAAGTTCTATTGGCTAAATTTCGGCAGTATATATAGAGAATTCTTGATTATTCAACGAAAAAATATCATCAAGATAACGGTAAATCTTGTTTAATTTATCAATTAAAATGCAATTTAGACGGATCTTTACGGAGTTTAGCTATAAACTGTGATTCACAACAATACAGGAACAAGTCTGCTATTAATGGGGCGCAGTTGGTGCCCATATGTATACCTGTAATCCAGTTTTTGTCGTTCGTTGATGCCTGCCATATTTTGTTAACGGAATGTTGCTTTAATTGGATTAAGAAAAATAGACTTAATTTGAGCTAAAAGAAGAAGCTTAGAATTATACCTCTGGTAGAATGAAACTTTCCAAAACCGGGTTTATAAAATAGAAATAAATACCTCTCCGGCATTCACAGCACTATACAACTGCATCTTGAAACCTTTCAAAAAATACCATTGATCAGCTTTATTTGCGTTCAGCAGCTCTTCATATTTGTCCTCTGCTTCAAATCCAAATGAGTGAAACTTTTTATTCGGATCAAAAAGAAGAACAGTTGGAACTTTGGTCTGAAGTGGTCCGTTTCCGTTATTCCATACCGATGTAGAGATATCCAAAGGATTGTTTTTATATTGGTATGCAAATGAGAATGCATAACCTGCACCGGAACTTCCAAAATCAATCGCAACTACTAGTATTTTTGTTTCAGCCATTCAGTCTCATAGTTTTCTATCATGGAATATAAATGAAAATCATTTATAAGCATAAACGATTTACACAATCATAGTAAAACAACCTGGTACTCCTGTTTAAGATAATGTATGTTAAAGACTGAAAGATATATTGAAGATCTAGAAAAAATAAGAAATTGTTGTAAATGTAAAGAAAACAAATGAAATGGAAAACGTAATGCATCTTGTAACAAATTTCGATAAATGGAATAATGAGCGAGAGCAAATGTTTACTCTTACATATTAATATTGATGTGACTGCGTGGTAAGTATTATCACCCTTTACAACATAAAACAATCTGATCTGCAATAACATTAACGGTACCAGATGCGCATTTCGACAATTAATATCTCTTCAGTGATGCAAGAGGCCAAAATATTTGAAAATCCAAACACATAATGCAAACGTTGAAGAGCTGATAAAACCAAAAAAAGGACCAAACGTAAAGCCAAACCCAGAAAAGGAATCTGAGCTATGCATGAGGGAGATACTTTCCTTAATTCAAAATGATTTCGAAATTTTATAACAGCAAATTCAAATAAAACAATATCGGTATTTTCATGCCAGTATCGAAGGTTTACCATCTAGATACACACCATGTACAATACATCATGCAAGAGCACAACATAAGGAAAAACTGTAATAAACTGTTGACACAGAGATATGATTCGCTTTTTTGTAATTTTGATAGTATAATGCAAATATTGAATCCAAATGGCAATATTTAAACATGTAAAATATGCAAAACATTGAAAGTCAATGAACCATGACTTATGGTGCAGGACCAAATAGCTCAATGGAAATGAGAAGTGCCAATGCTTATAAAACTGCATACCAAATACCATTGACTTACCATAAGTGATTCTCTTTACAATAACCCAACACAAACTTTAATATGTAAACAATGTAAAAGTTTCCAAGTCCATGAATGATGAGCGGGTTGGGGGTCATATAATGGCCATGGCGAAAATACTTGCAAATGCTAATACAACTGCATACCAAATATCATTGACTTAAAAGTAGCGGTTCCTCTTAAACTGATCAAATCACAAACGACTGAGGGGACGATGCCAAATAATTTGCATGAAAATGAGATGTGCTTATGCTTATGCATCTATATCATTGACCATTGGCCATATATCATTGACCTTACCCTAGTGGTTCCCTTAAATTGACCTAATCACAAACTAATACATGTATAGTAAGCAAAAATTTCAAAGTCAATAGGCCATGACTGAGGTGGCGGGTTGAATAATCTCCGTGGAAATGAGATGTACCACTGATAATGCATCCACATACCAAATATCATTGACCTATTACTAATGGTTTCTCTTAAACTGACCTGAACACAAACTAATACATGTAAAGTAAGCAAAAGTTTCAAAGTCCATAGACCATGATATAGGGGCGGGGCCAAATAATCTATATGGAAATGAGAAGTGCCAATGCTAATACAACTGCATACCACTTGTGGTTCCCCGTAAACTTACCTAACATACTAATACATTCTCGACGCCGCCGCCGTCGGAAACAGCATACCTAAGTCTCGCTCCGTCAGGGTGAGACAAAAAAAAGTTGGAAAGGGTGCATCTGGAAGAGTTTGGTTTAAATACATCTGTTTAATAAGGAGATAAGTTAATGTTTTAAATCTGTACACCCCTGCTTTTTACATATTAAAAATTCGGGAAATTGCCAATGCCCGCATTTTTTTAAAAAATATATTGATCTATCATGACGTAAAATTTAACCAGGTTTTGACCATGCTTTATAGTTAAACATAATAAATTTGATAATTTTGCTAAATTACAAGTAACAAAAACTTTCATGGTCTTTTCCAATACACATTAAATATTGCAAATGACTACATATAACAAATCGATATACTGGAGCTTCTTTGACACTTGGAGGTTCAAGTAACGTGTGCAAAAGACGTATTGTGTGAAATAGAGACAACAGACGATTATCGATGTTTAAATCTCACAAATTTATTTAAAATATATACAAATCAAGGGAAAATCTTTTGACTTGGTACCGTGCATTTAATCAAATACTCAGGACGATCACCTATAGTTGCTAACATCTACGTCATTTGGTGTCTGGTGGAAAGTTGTCTCATTGGTAATCATACCACATCTCCTTATTTTATATTACTACCGGAAATATGAAGTCCGAATACGAACCATCTAACTTCAAAAGCCTTGCAGCATTGTCTCATTTTAAACATCCTTTTATTCTCTAACAAGAACTACCTATCATCTGGATTGCTACTACGTTGATGAAAACATCTTTTCTGTGTTCATTATTAGAAGCCTTTGTTTAGACTTTTGTTATATCCGATCTAAATCTTAATAACCGTATTGCGTAGACTGCCTATATGAAATTATCTTTCCCAAAAGTAGGCTTCGTCTGAAACAATCTGCATAAATCAATCATCTCAACAGCGAGGTCATTAATATATACATGGAAGGGGAAAAGACCGATGATTAACCCTGCGGAACTCCCGTTCTCTTTCACCACGACACGTTCGAAATAACATTTTAACGGTACCAATTTTGACTGCACCAGATGTGCATTTTGATAACTGTCAAACACAGAATTTTAGATAGATTTATCCGATATGTCATTACACTCATCAAAAGGCCTGAATTAAATAATTGTTTTACTGCAATATTTTGTATATATATTCCTTCACTCATTGCACTCATACGCGTAAAAAAATCGAAAAGTCAGTTGAATTCAGTTCAAGGAAGCATAATTAATATACTAAAGCCCTTGCAGTATGACGTCCGTACTTTTATAATCCACCTCCGTCCTCACTTCAATAGTTGAATTCGCAGTTATCATGAATATATAAAATGTATGTGTGTGTCCTAATAACCCACGCCTGTATAGGTAACTATCTCAACTATATCGAAAATCCATGAGACAATCAGTAGATCAGTGTATTGACAAGCGGTAGATTTTGAGAAAAATGTATCAGATTTCGGACTAAAAGTAAATGTTATGAAAAGAACTAACCAGAATGGTTTACCAATATGCAGCAGTGGTCAACATTTATAAAAAAATAAATCAATGTACTTAAAGATTTCATGGTTAATATTACAGATAAAACGATAAGCCAGTTTTCATATTTCAAATAACACAGTTTAAGACATTCTTAAAAATGTGTGGTTGTTTTTTTCAATTAACCTATTCTATGATATGTTTTCCAAATTACAGAAAATTACTTTTTTCGCCGATTTTCTATTGTTCTTGTGTCACTGGTTATCAAACTAATGCAACATTCGTCTCAACAATCGTTTAAGGAAGTGGCAGCTTTTGATATCCAACTTTACATAAAACTACAGAACAATAACAAACAAAACATAATAAACTTTTTTTTATTGAATAATAAGGAGATGTCGGGACATACTTCAATGAAAAAGCATCCAAAAACAAAACAATTATTATAACAAACCAATTATATCTGAAGGTTTCTTGACTTATACACATCCATTATGGAATCCAAAAAAGAATTCAGAAATTAAGTTTACAATTAGTAACATGACTGTCAACGAACTCCAATGATCGTAAATTTGTGAAAAAAATCTATGTTCTTTACTAGAAAATAAAGACCCATCTTACCTTACAGGAGATGGAAAGTTCTTATAAGTTGTCAAACAAGTCCAATTAAACTTGGTAGATACATATCATTATAAATATAATTTTGGAACGTGAATAAAAGCAAAATAACACCTGACTTTAATTCAGACGTCATTTAATGTAATAAATGTAAATATATGTATTTTTGTCAAACTCTTTACTATACATTATTATATAGACCAAAGTTTGCAATTTAATTAATTGTTGTGCACTACTCAAATATAAATATGAGAAATCACTATACCATATACAAATAATATATATATACCTTTCACAGTTAAATCTTTGATCCTCAGTCAAGATGATTTTCATTTCACAATTTATCTAACTACATATCAAAGCGTGATTTACATTTTATATTTGAATATTCAACTGCGACTTAACCTTTTCATATTGATTACCGGTAGTGGGTTTCAAATGACAATATGTTGTGGTTACTTTCAGACCTTTTGGCATAGGAACCTCCATGAACAGTAAAAAAAGGTTAGAGATAATTTCCTTCTTCCATTTACCCAATTGAAAATAGCATGACAGAAGCTTCCAAATTTCTTAGATTACAGTGTTGCGGATAAATTTATATATCTTAAAGTGTAACAGACAAATTCTTTATTTTTATGTGGTCCTGTGGTGCAAAATTATAGTGAACGTGGCAGCTTATTCCTAATTTGTTTTATTAAAAAGAACGGCCAACGTAAATACAAATATCTTGTTTTCAAACACAAAGTTCTCGGAGACTGACACCATCAAGATACTTGATTTCTTTATTAAAAGCATATATTTGTTTCTTTTGGAAAACGTGTTTTTCACAAACAATCTGCATTCATTTGGAAACCAACTGCTTTGCTCTTCTTGTCGACTTGTTCCTTTGTTCATTTGGACGCAGGCTATATGCAGGAGCTTCTTATGAAGAACGAAAAGAAGCTAGCATTACCCTTTAACTAAAAGGTTCCCCTATAAAGATGATGTCATCTCACAAATGTTAATATATATATATTACGTCAAAATCTGTGGCAACTTTACGACAGACGTTCGCAAAATTAGCCAAGCAATTTTAGATCTACAAATTTGCAATCCCCTGCTTCTGTGGCATCGTGGCAATAGCGACTGCTGCGTGTCCACTCTGCCACACTACGCTCTATTTAAGTTATTTTTCGTTAGTCGAGTAATTTTAGATCTACAAATTTGCAATCCCCTGCTTCTGTGGCATCGTGGCAATAGCGACTGCTGCGTGTCCACTCTGCCACACTACGCTCTATTTAAGTTATTTTTCGTTAGTCGAGTAATGCCTTTCCTTGTCGGCTTTATTTAGGGTTGAAACATTGAACATGGAATGGCAAAGAATATAAACACAAAAACATAACATTGAAATTTCGCATTTAATATTTTTATAATTTTGCTATGCGATTTCATATTCTTTAAATACTTCTGTTTTAAATACTACAGCTATTATCTACTATCTTAATAAATTCTGTCGTTTGAACTAGGTACTTTTTTGCCAGCATTTGCATTTGTTCTATAAATGCAAGAAGTTTATAAAGGAAACATACAAGTGGCAAAAGACAACGAAAAATACCAAATTAAAATGTAGCATTACGGTTTGCAAACAGTCTTATGTTATGACTGTTCTGTTAAGGCTTTTTCGGTTTTATATTGTCAAACGGGTGACATATTTTTACCCTCCATATGTTTTTTTTTTTTTTTTTAATATCACTAACGTACCTCACAACGGTTAATCCAGAAACGTGTGCTTTGCGAACGGAAATCGCATTGTTTGACATCTAAAGAGTAAAATAACAAAAAATACCGAACTCCAAGGAAAAATTTAAAACGGAAAGTCCCTTATCAAATGGCAATATGAAAACTGAAACACACCAAACGAATGGAAAACAACTGTCATATTCCAGAAGGATGTAATTTGATTGATTAATAGTATTTGTTTTATTTCGAATCGAAGGGACAGCAAATGTAAATTTATCTTATTTTCATTTGGATTTTCGTACAAGTTCAGTAGTGTAAAGTTAAATTTATACAACTTCTATTCTCGATAACTAGTTCTTTAATATTTGATTTTGGTCTTTCAACTAGTGTAATGGTAAATTGGATATATATTTCGTTCGACAAAAAAGAAGCATTTATGTGTAGCCATATACCAATTATAAAACACCACAACGTAAAGGGAAGTTTGTAAAACTCATATTTAGTAAAATACATTGTTCATTAGTGCGAGATGTTCACACAGACAGGTATTCATGTATTATGCCATATCAATGAGGAAAAGGAAAAAGAACTTAGAATTTATTAACTTAAAGAGCAGACTGACGCATATGATATAAAAAGAAGATGTGGTATGATTGCCAATGAGACAACTCTCCACAAGAGACCAAATGACACAGAAATTAACAACTATAGGTCACCGTACGGCCTTCAACAATTAGCAAAGCCCATACCGCATAGTCAGCCCCGAAATGACAAATGTAAAACAATTCAAACGAGAAAACTAACGGCCTAATTAATGTACAAAATAATGAACGAAAAACAAATATTTACCACAGCAACAAACGACAACCACTGAATTACAGGTTCCTGACTTGGGACAGGCACATACAGAAAGTGCCGGGGTTAAACTAGTTTAGGGGCGCCAAACGCTCCCCCTAACCTGGAACAGTGGTGTTACGGAACAACGCATGAACAAACTATGCAAAACAATAAACGAAAAACAAATATGAGAAACAACAAAACAGAACAACCTCTTAATTACAGGCTTCTGACTTGGGCCAGGCACGTATAGAATGTGGCGGGGTTAAACTAGTATGAAGGCGCCAACCCTCCCCCTAACCTGGGACAGTGGTGTAACAGTACAACATAAGAACAAACTATAAAAATCAGTAACTCATCAGATGGATACAAATAGAAATACATCTAACAAAAACACAAAGTGGACGTGGACGGGTACTTGTACATCCCAATGACCTGGTACATAAAACAAATGCAATGCATAGTATCGTTAAAAGATAAAAACGACTGATGTGCTGACATGAAATCCTTGATAGTGTCGTATTCTGTAAATTTACAGGTTATGTAATGTTAAATCACTCGAAACACTAAGGTTATTCTATTCCCATGCATACATAGACAGCCTTGGCGAGATTGGAATATCTTTTATTTATTTGTTTATTTGGTTTTCAATGCTTTTAACTTATTGATTTGACCTATGGAACGATAGTCTGGCGTACTAAATCAATTGCATCTTTGATGAGGGTGAATGTTACTGTTGTTGGGCGTTTCGTCCGATAAGGTATCAGCGGTCTAGTAGTCAGCACGACATGCAATACCTTTGATGCCTACAGTTACTGTAAATTTACCGGTCATGAAATGTTTAAATCACTCGAAATATTAAATGGTTTCTCACCACAATTTTTCTGATTATTTTTAGTTGTCAATGCACTCCAGCTTCGCATTGGTTAAGTCTTCCTTTTGTTTTGATTTGAGCGAAATTATGTTGACAAAACGAGCGTTTGACGTTATTAATAAGCTTGGTGTCTTAGATAAGTTCATGCATGTTTTTGGATATTTTCAATTGCAAGAAAAAACATTCAATAAGTAGGTTTCTTTTTCGTGTTCTCTTTATGATGTGGATGTCAATTTCTCTGATTTTAGACAGAATATTCCATTATGCACTGATTATTATTGAAATAAGACGCATATAAATTGCCTTGAGAAATTCATTTTAATAAAGATTTCCGCATTGATAGCATCGGAGAAAGCACAAACAACTTCATTATTTCATAGATTGATAAAAAATATACATTTTTTATAAATAAGCAGATAAAGGAAGTGCAGTTGTTGTGATGAACAAGACCGGCTAGATCGACGAGTGGAATCATCAGCTCTCTAATACTATGTTATAAACATTTAACATGTGATCTAACAAAATAAATCAAACACACATATAAATTTGGTCCTCTCAGAAATGATTAATGATAAACAAATAGAAAACGACACGAATAATTACTTACGCCAAAATGAAACAAGCACAGCCAGACGATGTTATTCAAAACTCCAAAAAGAAGGGATTCCTTGATGACCAATATTGCATCAGCCAATTGCTACCCTACAGAAAAAAAAATAGAATTCGTTGATTACCACCTTAGACCAAATGTAGTCATAAAAATTTGGAGTACGATTATTGTACTCAGACTCAGAATTCAACCAATCAAAATACAAACACTAATATTCCGAAAAATAAAGGAATAACTGCATGCGTTTGAAAAAGTATGGAACATTCGTACAGACAAATACTGTATATTGCAGTTACTTAAGCTATTGCTAGAAAATAACAACTTTGATTTGCGTTTTTCGAAACCATCACAGCTGTTAAAAATGGGGTCATGATAACTGATCTCAACACAAAGAAAACGGACAAAAGCAGTGTCTTGTTGTTGGTAATAGACTGAAAAGGAATGTGTTGGTCTAAAAATACTTAAATTATTACTATCTAGATGTTGTTGATATTCTTTAGCTAATATTTACAAACTCATACTCTCAGACTGCAAAAAGATAATAAGGAAAAATGGGGATTTCACATTTTACATAACTCTTGTAATTGAAGACATGTAGAAAAACAAACCTGTTAGAAAATGTTAATATAAAAAAGAAGATGTGGTATGATTGCCAATGAGACAACTCTCCACAAGAGACCAAATGACACAGAAATTAACAACTATAGGTCACCGTACGGCCTTCAACAATGAGCAAAGCCCATACCGCACAGTCAGATATAAAAGGCCCCGAAATGACAATGTAAAACAATTCAAACGAGAAAACTAACGGCCTAATTTATGTACAAAAAATGAACGAAAAACAAATATGTAGCACATAAACAAACGACAACCACTGAATTACAGGCTCCTGACTTGGGACAGGCACATACATACAGAATGTGGCGGGGTTAAACATGTTAGCGGGATCCCAACCCTCCCCCTAACCTGGGACAGTGGTGGAACAGTACAACATAAGAACAAACTATAAAAATCAGTTGAAAGAGGCTTAACTCATCAGATGGATAAAAATACAAATACTACAAATACAAGTGGACGTG